AGGCACAGGTGGGCAGTACCGATCACCAGCGCTCCGGGGGTGGACATAGGCCCATGGCCTCCAGGACAGAAGCCAGGTAGGGCTCAGGAGACCTCGACTCCAACGCATGGGCAAGTCCCTGCCCCCCTGGGCCTCACTTTCTCCATCTATCCACGGGGCCTATGATCTGCCCATGGGCTCTCCAGCCTGGGAATGATGGGGAGACTACAGCGGGTTATATTGAAAGGTGAACTGTCAGGTTGGAGGAAGGTTACTAGCGGAGTTCCTCAGGGATCAGTTTTGGGGCCAATTTTATTTAATCTTTTTATTGCTGACCTTGGCACCAAAAGTGGAAGTGTCCTGATAAAATTTGCGGATGACACAAAGTTGGGAGCTATTGCCAATTCAGAAAAGGATCGGGATATCATACAGGAAGATCTGGATGATCTTGTAAATTGGAGTGATAGCAATAGGATGAAATTTAATAGTGAGAAGTGTAAGGTTATGCATTTAGGGATTAACAACAAGAATTTTAGTTATAAGCTGGGGACACATCAGTTGGAAGTAACGGAGGAGGAGAAGGACCTTGGAGTCCTGGTTGATTATAGGATGACTATAAGCCGCCATTGTGACATGGTCGTGAAAAAGGCTAATACGGTCTTGGGATGTATTAGGCGAGGTATTTCCAGTAGGGATAAGGAGGTGTTAGTGCGGCGTTACAAGGCATTGGTGAGACCCCATTTGGAATACTGTGTACAGTTCTGGTCTCCCATGTTTAAGAAGGATGAATTCAAACTGGAACAGATACAAAGAAGGGCCACTAGGATGATCCGAGGAATGGAAAACCTGTCTTATGAAAGGAGACTCAAGGAGCTTGGCTTGTTTACCTTAACCAAAAGAAGGCTGAGGGGGGACATGATTGCACTCTTTAAATATATTACAGGGATAAATACCAGGGAGGGAGAGGAATTATTTAAGCTTAATACCAATGTGGACACAAGAACAAATGGATATAAGCTGGCTAGTAGGAAGTTTAGATTTGAGATTAGACGAAGGTTTCTAACCATGAGAGGAGTGAGGTTCTGGAACGGCCTTCCAAGGGAAGTAGTGGAGGCAAAAGATCTATCTGGCTTAAAGAATAAAACTAGATGGGTTTATGAAGCGGATGGTTTGATGAGATAACATGATCTTGGCAACTAATTGACCATTCATTATCAGAGGTAAATAGATCAACAGAGGGATGATAGGAGTTACTATAGAGAACTTTCTGGGTGTCTGGCTGATGAGTCTTGCCCACATGCTCAGGATTTAGCTGATCGCCATATTTGGGGTCGGGAAGGAATTTTCCTCCAGGGTAGATTGGCAGAGACCCTGGAGGTTTTTTGCCTTCCTCTGTAGCATGGGGTACAGATCACACTGGAGGATTTTCTGCATCTTGGGGTCTTCAAAGTATTTGAAGGCTTCAATATCTGAGATATAGGTGAGAGGATTATTCTAGGACGGGGTGGGTGAGATTCTGTGGCCTGCACTGTGCAGGGGGTTGGACTAGATAATCATAATGGTCCCTTCTGACCTTAAAGTCTATGAGTCTATCAACACAGTAAGAATTTGAGAAGGCCTCTTCCACAATGTTTATGAGGGTGCACTAATGATTAGGCTACAGGATAGTCTGATGGGGGGCTCTCAGTCTTTCTTGTTGAACTGTGATTAGAACGGGTACAGGACCCATGATCTCCCACCTCCTAGGTCAGTGCTATGGCCCCAGCATGACAGAGACATTCTCATTTACTCTTACTATCCCAGTGACTGACTGACAAAATACTTAAACAGTCATTAAGTCAGAGATTCGCTCTAGCCCAGTGGTTTGGGCTCCCATCTGGGATGTGGGAGAGTCCAGGTCCAATTCTGCTTCAACCACTCAGGGTCTAACAACTTCAATAGGAAGGATTGAGGAAGCTCCACATCAGAATATCTTCCCTCCCACCTTAGTGGTTAGAGCACTCCTCCTGACTGGAAAGACCCCTTTTCAAATTTTTTCTCTCAAGTAGAAGAAGGAATTCAGTCTGTGTCTAACATAACCAAGGCTACAGTACTACTAATAGGACTAAAAGTTATAAATTGAGCACCACTTGCTTCTTTGATTGGATTTGGAATGGGACTTCATCTTGCAACCTCTGAGCATATCTCCTGGGTTGGGCATCACATATAAAGCTTGGCAGGAATTTTGTGAATCACGATGAAATGAAAATAGGGATTTAGGTATCACCAAAATACTTTCATGGATTCCACACAGAGAAATTAAAAGAAGAGAGATACTTGTGGTCATGATGTGCCTGCAATTACTGCACTCCACTTGGCAATTTTAGTCCAAGGTCACTTCATAACTATTTCCTGTTTTATCTGAAAAATTAGCCTGTAGGTAACTGTTTATAGGACATAGGCTGCACTTTGATAGACATTTCAGGAGAGAGTATAAGGTGCTTATGTGCTGTGTAGCATACTATCAGTGGACACTGATCCTAAAACTGGTATAACCAGTCTAGGACTGTTTACAAAGGGGATCCTCAAGTCTAGAGGAACAACAGTTAGGTGCTTTTATGCAACCTCCTTTGCCTATGACAGTATAAGAGGGAAAGGGGAGTTTAATCATGCTGCCTCATAACCACAGACACTTGGCTCTGCTTTTACGCCCTTCAGCAGTCTTCAGGCTGCTTCAACTGGATGCAGGGGATTGTTACAAAACATACAACAGGATCAAGGTTCTGTAAAGATGTCATAAATCTGGTTTGTAAATAAAATATTAATTGGAACTATGACTGTTTGCATCACCTAAAGGTTAACCCTCTGAATTACACCCTTCAGATCATCTCTTGATAGTAAAAACATTTTCCTGTGGGATAATGTCACTCTGCATCCACAGGCTCCGCTCTCATATGGGCTCGCTACCTGCACACTGTTCAGAGATGACAAAGCCTCTTTGCAGCCCAGCCTGGGCGGATTGAACCTCCCAAAAGTCCTGCCTGCTCGGCTCTGGCCGCAGCCTTTTAGTTGGCCTATACCCCAGCTCGGGCTTCTTCGGATGGTGTGAGGCCCACTTGCGCTGGGAACGGAGGCAGGCTCCTATGTTCCGGAGCACCACGACTTGGTCCAGGGCAATGCTGCTGTTGTTCTTGGCACTCACGGGCTGCTAGGCAAGCAGACTCAGAAACACCAGGTGGAAACTGAGGCCCCGAGTTCCCGACAGCCCTTTGCGCTCTGAGTGGCCACGTCCTTAGTCCCCTCCCTCCGTGAGACCAAAGCCCAGCCTGGCTCCCTCCTGCCCAGTCATGCGTGGGGCTGCAGCAGCAAGCATTGCTTCTGCAAGGAGGACGAAGAGGCACCCAGCAGCACTAACCTGAGCAGCCCGGGCTCCTTTTGCCTGGCATTGCAGCCTTGTCCTCCCTCCCTCTCCCTTCTCACTGTGGGGGAGAGGACGGGAGGAGGAAGGTGGAGGGAATACCCTGAGGCTCACTGAATGGGGAAGAAGCGCTCCCCCTTCCAGGCTGGGGAAACAGCAGCACACGACACCCTTCCCTCAAGCCCACTTCTAGCTCCTTGCCCCCCCACCAGCCACCCATCCTACCCCCAGCCTACTCCTTCACCCTACCTTTCCAACAGACCTCGCGCCCTCAGTCCCTCCTGCTCAGATTATGCCCCCATCCCTAGCCCACTCAGGAGCAGCCTTGTCCCACACATTGAACCCGTTTTGGCCCCACCCCGAGCCTAGGGAGTCCACAAAATCCACTAACCCTGGAACTCCAGAAGAGTTATCTGGCCTGAGGCCTCGAACCTCAGTCCTGCCCCTCCCATGGGGCTGGAGCACTGGCCCTCAGTCCCTCCTGCTCAGATTATGCCCCCATCCCTAGCCCACTCAGGAGCAGCCTTGTCCCACACATTGAACCCGTTTTGGCCCCACCCCGAGCCTAGGGAGTCCACAAAATCCACTAACCCTGGAACTCCAGAAGAGTTATCTGGCCTGAGGCCTCGAACCTCAGTCCTGCCCCTCCCATGGGGCTGGAGCACTGGGCGAAAGGGGGGGGGATGAGGTGCTTCAGGGAGGGCCACATCAATGAAGCCTGGGAGTTTTTAGAGAGGCTTTTTTACCTTCTGACTTGTGTGGCCCCCACCAGATTTGTATGGCCCTGATTCTAAAAAGACTCCCCCCTCCCGCCAGAAACAAAGACAGTGTTGAAACCTTCTTGTGTTGGACATAATATTTTACTTTATTTAAAATGAAGCCTGGCCAACAAGGCCCCCGCTGGGGCTCATCCCCCAGTCTGGCTGCAGCAGCCTGTCCCTGGCCCCAGAGCTGGGGAGATCCCGCGGCCCATCCCCTATCTGGCCGCAGAAAGGGTTGGCGGAGGCCCCCCCCCGCGTAGGAAGGGCCACGAGCCCCAGAGCTGGTGTCTGGCCCCAGAGTTGCCACATGCAACACGCGCTTCCCCCGCACGCTTGTGCCCTGGAGGCGGAGAACAAGGTGCGATTTGTGACACCCCTTCTAACAAGCACGTGCCGACTCTGCCACAACTCTCAGAGCGCGGCGAGGCGGCCTGTGGCGGCCCCCGGGCCACGGGGGCGCAAGCAGCTGCCGCGGGTACCACACGCCCGGCGGGCCGGCCAGACAAAGGCCCCGCCTGACTCCCCGCCCCCGTGGCGTCTCGCGAGATCTAGTTCACTCTTGCCTCCTCCCACTGCTTCCCGCCCCCTGACGGCTCGTCTCGCGATGCTCCGCGGCCTCTTTCTCTTTCCCGGCGGTCGGCGCTAAGATGGTGGGTTGCAGCGTGAGGGCTCCTGCTGCGCGCGGGGCCGAGTTGCTGGTGGCGGTGGCGGTGGGGGAGGGGGAGCGGGCGCGGGCCCCGGGCCGGGCTGCGTGTCGGAGTCGGCTTGAGGCTGGGCCCTGCGCGTGCTCAGCGCCCGCCCGGGCCGGCACGAATGGAGGGGGGGGAGCGCCAGCGCCTCTGCCGGGTCTAGCGCCCCTTCCTGCCCGGGGTGCCCCGCGCGTGCGGGGAGGGTCCAGCCGCTGCTGTGGGAGCGCCGGGGACCGTAGTCAGGCCCGCGTCCCGTTGTGCGAAGTGCTGGGCCCGTTCCCTCCAGCGCTGTCACCTGGGCTCGGCTGTTCGTACAGTTACTGTCGGTTCGGTTTGTTAATGTTTGCACCTAGTTTTCCAGCCTAAGGAAGACGGAGAAGCTGGGAGGACACGTTAGCCGCGGCCGTCTTGGTACGTGTGGAAAACTTTTACTCATGTGCTCGTGTTGGGACTCAGTGTAGGGCACTTCATTGCCCCTTGCGTCACAATCCCTTTTTACATTTCTCCTAGGCAAACGCAGAAAGCATCAGTCACCGGCCATGGACATGCTGGGGGCCTGCACCAGCACACAATTAACTTAGACACGTGGTAAGGCATACGATTTTTTTCCTTTAAACCCCTACCCCAAAGATTACCCCTTACTAATCTTGCAAGAAAACTTAGCTGATTTCTTTTGTAGTTCTCAATATCATTTATTGCAGGGGTTTGAAACCTCAGGCCAGGGGCCAAATGCGGCCCCGAACTTGCCTAGATCCGGCCCCTGCGGCTCAGGGCTCACCCTCAGCTTTGGGGAGTCTGCCCTGGCACTCCAGCTACCCTGCTACAGAGCTGGAGCACACTAAATCTCCTAACCTGGACCCCATTAGGCTCTGGCGTGAGAGGGGAACGTGACGAGTGTCTTTCCCCTCATTCAGGGGCCACGGCAGTGGGTGGTTTTTTTCCCTTTTCACTTGGTCATGGCCCCCAAAAAAGGTTCCCTTCCCATTTACTGCAACTATTTAGCCTTTTGTCCATCTTTTAAAAGTAAAGTGCTGGTAACGATCTCATGTTTTAGTGAGTTACATGTGGTAAAAATAGCTTGTTTCAAAGCTTCTAGTGCAGGGGTGGTGAACATAAGACCTGGGAGCCAGATCCAGCCCCTGGCTTGCCTGGATCCAGCCCCTGATGCTTGGAGCTTCCCCCACCCCAGCATTGGGACGCTTGCATGCTGGCACTCCAGCCCTCCCACCAGCTCTCCACAGGGCTGTGGCACACAAAATCTACACACTTGGGTCCCCTAGTTTCTGAGTGTGAAGGAAATGTGGGGGAGTGTCTTTCTCCTCAGTTGGATGCCATGTCAATAAGGGTGGTTTTGGGGTTTATTTTATTTTTGATACTTCTCACTTGTGCGAGGCCCCCCAACTGATTTTTCTGTGGGTCAGTGGTCCCTGATCTAAAAAAGGTTTCCTGTCCCTCTTCTAGTGTATGTTTGCCACAGTTAAAGTTTGCAAGACATTGATAATTTGCTTAACTTTGATTCTACATGGTATGCATGTATACAACGACAGTAGATGAATTTAAGCTTTTGTATTTCCTGATTTCAGTGGTGTGTGTTTTTGGGGGGGGGGCATGAGGAGTCCTGTATTTAAACATTACAGAGTCTCGTGTCGCATCTAGACATTGCCCATTGTCATAGTTGTGCTTGAGTACTCGGAAAGTAACAACTAATTTCTGTTCACTGACTGTCACTACTTTCAGTTCAGTCAGTCACTGGGTTAGTAACAAAAGATCTGAATCTACATTTATTGTACAACAAAATCTGCTAAAGTCAGAGTTGTGGGTGCCTATGAAATATAGAATGGGGCCCAAACTGTTCACAAGAAAGATGAGTTTTGACTTTTTTTAATCAAAACATTAATTTTACTAACGAGATTTATTTAATTTCTAGATCTGGAAAATGTGAACATCCCTCAAGAATATGCAAATAGTGACTCACACAAGAGTTTTAAAGTTCAGATGTATTTGTATATGATTTTTCTGTGGCAAATTGTAGTACAATAAAGGTTAGTATTTTTAACTGATCTGATTTTAGCACAGCCAATTCAAAAGAAATTTCAAGGAACATGATCTTATATCCAATATTTTTCCTCCCCAGTCATCTTGATTATTTTGAGAAAGTTGGTATTAGATGGTGCCACTCTGAAGAACTAGAGAACTTCTGTCCTACTGTCAGCTTGGATGAATTGTGGTCATTTGTTAGTGAGCAGACAAGATTCAACTATGCAAAAAAACAGGCTGGATTAGCTTCATTGGTGTTGTATACTCGGTAAGAGTGCTATTTCATCCTGTCTTCAGAATCAATACTGTAGTGTCTAAACAATTAAAATATATGACTGTTTGCTCATCTAGGAAATAAAACTAAATTTTGGATAATTTACAGTTCGTAGGTTGTTTTGAAATGTCACGTGAAAGACTTTGGGAGCATCTGACTGAAACAGTTCTACTAGTGTATGCTTCTCTTGCCTGATCCCTTGGTTTTTCATGGATTAGTATAAAAACAAAAAAATTTTTAATACTAAACTTGAGATTTGACATTCTTCATTTTTAAAACCGATGTATATAAGATGAGCTTACAGATTAGCTTTTAAAAGGATTTGGAAGATTCTATAAAAGAAAAAACTTTCATTGCTTGTTTTGGTCTAATAAAGTTGGCCTCTTTAGCACCGAGACTAGAGTCACATCCTAACACACATCATTGTCTTGGTGTGCTATAGTCCTCGGAGATAAATTTCTGATCCTTATTCACTGGCTGTGATGATTCATATTGCAGTCAGCCACCGAATCAGAGACATTCATTAGTTAACCTGTCACAACAGGGGGACGGAAAAGTGTCTTGTATGGGAAGACTTAGGTTTATTGGTTTTGAGACTAGCTGGCTCTCCACAAGCAGTGATGCGCACCTGTGCTCCTCCTCATCCCTTCAATAAACAGGTAGCAGCACGAGGGGCATGCATAGGGAGCTGGCTTGAAAACCACTTCCCGTGCCAGCTGGCATGTGCCTCCTGGCCACTTGTTGCCTCTTATACAGAGGTGTTTGGGGGTACATGTAGTCAATAAGGTTAACCAATAAGACCGGGCATTATAGTAATACCAAAGATCCTCAGTAGGGGATTGGGGGCCACTGTATGCTAGGTTCTGTACAGACATCCAGAAAAAGACAGTCCTGGTTTGATTTGAGGTTAGACTTGGGTGGAGATTCTCATCCTTGATAGGATCCCTTTAGTTAAAAATTTGGAGTAACATAATTGGGACTCTAAAAGCCCCAGATCTGGTTGGGCATGGACTTTCCTGAGGCTTGGAACTAGGGAAGACAGCTAGCAATAGAAGGTGGGTAAGGTAGCTTGAATTTTTTTTTCCACCAAAAGAAATTAGTTTGTGGCAGAGGTGTTACCTTATATTTTTTAAAAAAAAAAAGGTGATACCATGCTAGGGATCTACTACAGACCACCTACCCAGGCAGATGAGGTGGATGAGCCTTTTTTTAAACAACTAACAAAATCATCCAAAACACAGGATTTAGTGATGATGAGGGACTTCAATTATCCAGACATCTGTTGGGAAACGAACACAGCATGACACCGATTATTCAATAAGTTCTTGGAATGCATTGGAGACCACTCTCTTCTCCCCTCCTCCCTCCCAAGGCTGAGAGAGCTACTATGGGGAAGCTATTCTAGATTTGATTTTTAACAATAGGGAAGAACTGGATGAAAATTTGAAAGTGGTAGTCAGCTTAGGGTGAAAGTGATCATGAAGTCATAGCTTTCATGATTCTAAGGAATGGTAGAAGAGAGAACAGCAAAATGAAAACAATGGATTTCAGGAAGGCAGATTTTAATAAACTCAAAAGAGCCGGTAGGTAAGATCCCATGGGAAGCGAGACTAAAAAGAAAAACAGCTGAAGACTGTTGGCAGTTTTTCAAAGGGACATCAAGGATCCAAAAACAAACTCTTGCACGAAAATATGGCAAGAGACTATCTTGGCTCAATCAGGAGATCTTACATGATCTAAAAATAAAAAAGGACTCTGATACAAAGGAGAATACTAAGTCAAATTACAAAGGATGAGTATAAGCAGATATAAGTATATGGGGCAAGATTAGAAAGGCAAAGATACAAAATGAGCTCAATCTAGCTACAGACAAAGGATAACAAGAAAACATTCTACAAATACGTTAGAAGCAGGATGAAGACTAAGGACAGGGTAGGCCAGCCCATTCCTCAGTGGGGAGAGAGAAACAATAACAGGAAACTTGGAAAGGACAGAGGTGCTTAACAACTTTCTCTTTCTTTTGAAGATTGATGGTGACAGGATGCCTAATATAATGAATGCTAGTAGATATGGGATGGGTTTAGAAGTTAAAATTTAAAAAAAGAATGTTAAAAATTACTTAAAGTTAGATATCTTCAAATCACTAGGGCCTGATGAAATGCATTCCATCTTTGAAAAGTTCATGAAAGTAGGAAGAGATTTCTAAAGATAGGAAAAGGGCAAATATAGTGCCTATTTGTAAAAAAGGGAAAAAAGAGCAACTCAGGAAACTACAGACCAATCAGCTAACTTCTGTGCCAGGGAAGATAATGGATCAAATAATTTAGGAATTTATCTTAAAACATCTGACATAAGGTGATGGGTAACAGCCAGCAGAGATTTGAAAAGAACAAATCATGGCAAACTAATCTGATAGTTTTCTTTGATAGGATAACAAGTCTCGTAGATAAGGGAGAAGCATTGGACATGATATAACTAGGCTTTAGTGAAGCATTTGATATGGCCTTGCATGACCTTATCCAGTGGTCCCCAGTGCGGTGCCTGTGGGTGCCATGGTGCCCACCGGGCCATTTCTGTGTGCCCGCCAAGTGATCAGGGCCAGCCCCACCCCCGGGCACGTGGTGCATGAGCAGTGCCAACCCCTGGGTGCATGGGTGGCACCACTCCCAGGTGCGCAGGACATGATCGGTGCTGGCCCTGGGTGCATGGCGGTTAGGCGGCCCCATCCCCGGGCAGGCAGCGCATGGGCGGTGGTAGCCCCACCTCCGGGTGCATGGGACATGGGCTGTTCAGGCCCCAGGTGTGTAGCGTATGGGTGGCCCCACCCCTGGGCATGCAGCACAGTTGCGGCACCAGCTCCAGGCACGCAGCATATGGGTGGCCCCGCCCCCAGGCACATCCATGGCCCTACCCTGGGCGCCCGGCAGCCCCAAAAGGTTGGGGACCACTGACCTTATCAATAAACTATGGAAATACAATCTAGAAGGGGCTAGTATAAGGTAGGGATGTTAAATTTTGTTTAATAAAATACAGATGAGGGATTTTTCATTGTCTAGTTGATAAATGGGGAGCTGCAGTAGGGTTAGGTCCCGACTAGTACCCTGCCCCCCGCGGAGACTGCAAGAGAGGGAAGCGACTAGTCAATGGACTAGCTTACTATCAAATAAGCTTTTGCTTATTGGATAGTTGACTAGTCGCTTACATCCCTACTGTAAAGTGGGTGCATAACTGGCTGGATAACCATTCTCAGTAGTTCTTAACAGTCATGCTGATAGGGCATTACAATTGAGTTTCTGCAGGGATCTGTTTTGGGACCGGTTCTGTTCAATATCTTCCTCAAGTGAGATAATGGCAGTGAGAGCAGATAATACTAAACTGGGAGAGGGTGCAAGTGATTTGTAGGATAGGGTCATAATTCAAATCTGGACAAACTGGAGAAATGGCCTGAGGTAAATAGGATGAAGTTTAATACAGACAAATGGAAAGTACTCCACTTAGGAACAATTTGTTTCACACATACAGAATGGTAAGGGACTGTCTAGGAAGGAGCACTGCAGAAAGGGATCTAGGGATCATAGTGGACCACAAGCTGAGTCAACAATGTGACACTGTTGCAAAAAGCAAATGTGATTCTGGGATGCATTAACAAGAGTAGTATGTGCAAGACACAAGAATTAATTCTTCCGCTCTGCTCTGCACTGATTAGGCCTCAGTTGGAGTATTGTGTCCATTTCTGGACGCCACATTTCAAGAAAGATGTGGAGTCATTGGAGAAGGTCCAGAGAAAAGCAACTAAAATGATTCTAGGTCTAGAAATCATGACCTATGAGTCCAAACTGAAAGAATTGGGCTTGTTTGGTTTAGAAAAGAGAAGACTGAGAGGAACATGATAGCAGTTTTCATGCAGCTAAAAGTGTGTTACAAGGAGAAGACTGAAGGAAAATTTTTTTGCCTCTGATGCAAGAAGCAGTGAGCTTAAATTGTAGCAAGAGATTTAGGTTGGATATTAGGAAAAACTTCCTAACGGGGTGGTTAAACACTGGAATAAATTGCATAGGGAGGTTGTGGAATCTCCATCATTGGAGACATTTAAGAGAAGGAATGATCTAAATGGTGCTTGGTCCTGCCATGAGGGCAGGGGATTGGACTTGATGACCTTTCAAGATCTCTTCCAGTAGTAGTATCCTATGATTTTGATTCTAGTTCAATAAAAATTACCTCATCCAGCTTCTATCAGTCATGATCAAGTATTAATTTGAATGGATCTTAATGGTTGTATGTGGTTGTATTTATCTCATAATTCTTATGGAGTTCCATCTGCCAAGGAAAAATTATCTTCACAACTTGCATCAAAGTCTTTTGATTTAACCAAATTACACATGTTGGTGTGGATGGGAGAAGAATGAGCATGGAGTATCTCAAGTGTTTAATTGAAATTTGTTTGCTAACCTATCTTTTGCAACTTTCTAGGATTATTACAATGTCCTGGGCAAGGGGAAGCTGCTCAAACAGCCTGAAAATGTGAAGGCAAAATTCCTCAGCTGGAGATCAGAGGAAAAGATCAAAGATGTTGATGGAGCGTGCGTGCTTATGGCATAAAGGAGTTTTGTATTTATATGAATAAAGACCTATAAAATGAGTGGTTTTCACTTTAGTAAATCAAAGATTTTTTAGGGAGATGTTTGCTTAACTATATGTTTCTAATACTTAATCAAACTTTGGGGCCTGTTCCATACCACAGCTTTTAACTGAGGTTTATGACATTTGCATGGCTGGTTCTCAACTATATTGAAGAATGTCCAATAGTTTTGCTTCTGCTGGCATATTTGCTTTCCCGTGACTGGACATTTAGTCTCCTGCAGTTTGTACAGGACCCTGGAGCCATGTTTGTATAACTCATTCAAATGGCTTCAAATTGGTGACTAGCTTTTCGTGGTAATATAAATAGTCCCAGAATTGCCCATTTTAAGTTAATGCTGCTTTATGTGCCTGCAGAACATCCTGCTGCAGAACAGTGGGCAGTTGCTTTTTTCTCTTTCTGTAGAATGCAGTGGTACCAGCAAAGGCATAGAGAAATGCACACACGTTTTTCATACCAGCTAGTGATCTGATAATGTGACATTTACTTATAAGTGGTCTACAACAGGGCTACTCAACACATGGCCTGCTTGTTTGCGGCCTGCAATGCAGTTTGAGTTTACGTGGGGCTCAACATGCAGCCTGCAGGTGGGAGCCAAAACAAAAAAGTCAATATAATGGTATTCTGTTGATATTTGTTTTAATAATTAAATTCCTGGACTGTCATTGTCCATTAAAAGTGCTGTCAATGGGTGCAAATGGGGTAAACATTGCATTTTATTATCAGCAGAACTGACTTAAATGGGGCCTGTGTGTTGTGTAGCCCTGATTTCTACTTGCATTATATTAAATGGAGATGGAGGGAAAAAATTAAATCAGTATTTTAGGAAATGAAAGCCACCATTTCTGCTCATGTTGCTACAGGCATTGTCCTTGTATCCAGTAGTTTTGATACTTGAATTTTAGTGGTGCAGTCTTCCTTTCAGTGTACCTCCTATCATTAATGTTTGGTACAGTGGGAGGCTGATTGCATCTCTTTGTAGAGGTATGGTCTATTTTGGTCCCTTTAAAAAATGTTAATGTACATTGTACATAGGTTGGACATTTCTGTACATGAGGGAGTCATGTGAATTATCTACAAATGAAAATTGTTTATATAATATCTAGCATAGTTGGGTCCTAAACTCAGTTTTTTTCTGTTTCATTTAGATCAGGGGTAGGCAATTTTTGTGTGTGTGTGGAAGGGGTGCACTCCCAAGATTTTGGCAAGTGGTCAAGAGCAGTTGTGGGTCTTGGAAGGAGGTTGGGTGTAAAGGGATTGGGTGAAGGAGGGGGTTGTGACCAGGGCAGGAGGTTGGGGTGCAGAATCTGGTTGTGGCTTGGGGGAAGATGTAGGAGTGAGTGTGGGGCAGGGGAGTTGTCTGGTGATAACCTGGGGCCAGACATGGGGATGCAGGAGGTGGTGAAGTGCAATTCCTGCCTAGCAGGACCTGTAGGCTTCCTGCCTGCTGCCAGCCCCAGGCTGAAAGCGACTAGCTGCTCCTTCCATGTGTAGCCTTGTATGAAGGGAAGGGGGACTTTGTGCACTGCCCCCAGCCCAGTCATTACTGCTCCTGTGGCCCTTTTCCAACCAATTCTGATTGGGTTGTGTGTAAAGTCTCTCTCTCTCTCCCCCTCTTCCCCCAAACCAGTGTGCCACACATAGAAAAAGTAGCCAGCTGCTTTGGTGTGGGACTGCGACAGGCAGGGCTCCTGCTTGAGGGTCCTAGCTGGGAAGGCTGGATCCAAAGGCTTGGCAGGCCACATTTGACCTGCATCTTATCTGCCCCTGGTTTAAACAAGTTGCTCTAGAGTTGGGCTTGGGGTAAGGCAGTGGTCTCCAACCTTTTCACACCGAAGATCACTCTTTAAATCTCAGAACAGGGGAAGATCTACTGCCCCGCCCCTTCCTTGAAGCCCCGCCCTCTCTATTCTCCTGTCCATCACTTGCTATTCCCAACCCTTACTTACACACTCTGATAAACAGTTTATTTTTAAATTATGCGATATATAAAATTAAAATCACATGTTTATAGTTATGAAATAAATGGTCTGTTTTTTATTCATGCTACAATGAAGCATTAATAATTATACATTTTGTGGGGACAGTTCTGCGGCTGGGGGCAGGGGAGAGGGAACAGGGTGCTGGGAGGGCAGAGGACAGGGTTCTGCAGCAGGGGACAGGGTGCGAGTGGGGACAGAGTTCAGGGAATGAGGACAGGGGAATAGGGTCTGGGGATGGGGCCAGTGGCAGCAGAGAGTCCCCTGCATCTGCCTCATCCCAGGAATCTCCCACCCCCCCCAGAGGGAAGACAGCACATGCCTCCTCCAGGCCCGACTTCCCCTTCTCCCCCCCCCCCCCCCCGGCGCGGGAACCCCTCGCGTGCCCGCC